GTTGCCGTCATAGCCGCCAGCGCCCCCGCCGCCGCCGCCCGCACCTGCATCACCGTCAACGATCCCGGCGCCACCAAAACCGCCATCGCCCCCGCCGTGGCCGATGCGTGCCCCGTTCTGTGCTCGGCAGTAAAGGGTGCCGTTGTAGGTGAGGGTGGATGCAGCTGCCGACCGCCCGCCTTGAATCAGCGCTGTGCAGATGGAGTAGACCCCTTCGGGAACAGTCCATGAATGCGTGCCCGCAGTCGTGAATTCGATCTGGCCAGGGAGTGCGGGCGCTGCCCCTACCAGCAAAGCGCGCACGCTCACTTGGCGTCCTTTGCCAGGCGCGTGCCCGTCCACGTGGCGCCGCCGTCATGCGTCACAAAGCCCAGCAGGTCGCGCCCGGCCGCCGTCAGCAGTGGCGCCACGCCGCCAGGCCACTTGCACCCAGCCCACCAAGTGATGGCCGCGCTTCCCCCATTGGTCAGGTCCAGCAGAAAGCACGCCACCGTGCCCGCCGGGGGCACGTTCGCCACCGTCAGCACCGTGGCGCCCGCGATGGTCTTGGTGAACAGGTTCCCCGCAGCCACGTCGATCTGCGTGCCCGCGCCCAGGGCCACGCGCACCTCGCGCAGCCCGGTGATGGTGGGCGTGGTGCTGGCGGCCTTGGTGGCAATGGCGGCGTTCAGTGTGGCCACGGCATTGGCCAAGGCGTCGGCGCTGGCCTTGAGGGCCAGGGCATCGCTGGTGCTTTGGGCCAGCGCGTTCACGCTGGCGGTGCTGGCCTTGGTGGCCAGGGCGTTGGCAGTGGACAGGGCCAGTGCGTCCAGCTCGGTGCCTTCGGCCTTGTCGGCCAGGGCCAGCTCCACCAGCTGCTGGGCAGCGTCGATCAGGTCCAGCGCCTGGCGCAGGCGCTCCACATCGTCGCGGCTGTCGTTCAGGCGGTGCGGCAGGGGCAGGCTCAGCGTGGGCGTGCGTTCGTCCACGGGATCGCCCAAGGTGCGGTAGGTATCGACCATGGCGCCCCCTTACAGCACCACGCCGCGCAGGTTGCGCACCTGCGGCCGGGCGGTGGTGCTGCCCGTCAGCGTGAGGCGCACGCGCGCCCCGTCGCCTGCGTTGAAGTTCTGCAGCTCGTGCGTAATCTCGCGCACGCCCGCCGTATTGGTGCTGGCTGACAGATAGGGCACCAGCACCCAGGGCGCGCCGGGCGCCGTGCCCTGCACGTGCACCGTGACGGCAGAGCCGCCGGGAATGTCGCCTTCATAGACCACCTTCACCGTGTTGTCGGCATCTGCCGCCACCGTGCGGCTGATGTAGGTGCCCGTGCCCTGGATGTTGCCCGCCACCAGCTGCACGCCGTTTTGCAGCACGGCCGCCAGCCTGGCGTCTCCGCTGATGCGGGCACGCACCTGCACCTGGCCGGTGAAGGGTGCGGCCAGCCACACCACTTGCCCATCGGTCAGGCGCACCACCTCGCTGCCCATGGCCTCGGGGAACTGCACCTCGAACAGCAGGTTTGCGGCGGCCGATGGCCGTTCGGCAAAGCCCAGCACCATCAGGTCAGTGGCGTTCACCAGGTCGGCGGTGCCCAGTTCGATCACCCGTTCCGTTTGCGTGTACTGGGCGCCCAGCAAGCGGAAGCACAAATCGCGGTCTTGGTGGGGCGTCCACGTCGATGCGTTGGACGACGACAGCAGCACGCCCACTTGGTAGGGCTGGCTGGTCACATAGCCTTGCACCGGGTCTTGCTTGCCCAGCTCGGCCACAGCCACAGCGGTGGTGGCGTCGTCGCACAGCACCACGATGGCGTATTCCCGCCGGGCCTGCAGCAGGGTGGGCGCCCAGGTGATGCGGGTGAAACCGTCGAGGGCGATGGCGTCGGCCGCCACGCGGGCCTCGATCACCACCGCCTGCGTGGGCACGCCGTTGAACGTTTCCCGGATTTGCACCACCACCGGGCCACCCTTGGCGGTAAAGGGCAGGTCCACGCCTGCGCACTGGGTCAGCTCGTCCAGCACAAAGGTTTGCGCCAGCGGGTCGAAGTAGCCCTCATACAGCCAGCGGCTGCAGGCGCTCTGGTTCTGCGTGGGGGTGGAGCCGGTGCCGCTGGGCCCGAACACGGCGCCGCCCGTGGAGATGGGCGCTGGGTAGGACAGGGACCAGCTCTCGGTGGTGACTTGCTGCTGGGTGCGCAGGATGGCCGTGCCCTGGCCCATGAAGGTCTGCGAGCCACGCGAACCCAGCGGGCCCGTGAAGTTGACCACCCGTGCGCCTGCGGGTACGCCCTCGGGCACCACAAACGTGCCCGCCAGCTCGCCCTGCGCATTTGCCAGCAGCGTGCCACCGGCCAGCGGGGCAGGCTCCACAGCCAGGCCGTCGAAGGTCACGACACCCATGCCCTCGCCCGGCCCCCAGCCCTTGAGGTCAAACCGCACGGTGATGGGCCGCAATGTCTCCAACTCGGTGGACGATTCCGACAGCACCCGCGAACTCGCCGACCGACCGGAAAACGACATCTCCGAACCGGAGCCGGTGTACAGCCGCTCGGTGATGGGCGAGGCCCACTGTGTGGTGACCTCGGTCCAGCGGTCCACGTTGGGCGTGAGCGTGACGGCGGCCGGGAT